CGAATACTGGTATGATATGCTCCACTCACTCACCACCGAGAAACCCATTTTTGTAACTGTATCCTTATGTGCAGTCTAACAGTCTCTCTGTCCAGCTCTAAGTTCGAGCCTAGTGCGAACGGGTTTCTTTTTCCTGACGACATAGCTGACGCCCAAGGATCGGTCGTTGCAGTAGGGAAAAGCCTTGAAAAGGTATCGGTCTAATGCTTCCAGGTGCCCTATGATGGCAGTATCAAACACCTGGTAGGCGGGATCGGCCCGCCAAAACAGTGGCAGAAGGTGGGCCATGCTGTGGAAATGTTTGGTGGTGTGTCCAAAGTTGAAGGGAACGGCGTTCGAGTTCTCAGGGACTCTAGAAATGCCAGGGTATCACCAAAGATAGGACACGGGGATTAGGCTGAAGCTAGTCTCAAGCTCCAGCAGCATGGCCATCGGATCTAAGGCTTTTCGCTTAACATTTCGCTTGACTGACCCACGAACTGGCCCAGCTGTTGATACGGTAGGCCTAGAGCTTTCCAGAGAACCGGTAACTCTCCACCAAAGAGCTCTAGTAATTCCGCACTACCATGGCATGTATAGCATGGCTAGCCTTGAAGCTGTCTTGAGGGTTCGGCCGCCCAATGAACAAGTGATCGAACATGCTTGATCCTTGCTGCTGTGCCATGCCGTCCCTAGCCAAGTCCAGCCTCCCCCCCCCCCCATCTGGATTGCTTTGGCCTTTGCAGGTCGCTATGCACCACCACGGCAGCCAATCGCAGCTTTCGACTCTGCGGTGGCTCTGAGACATTATCTTCGATGAGGCAGCCGTTGTGCTTGGGCTAACGCTTAAGACGGACGCCTGGGTAAGCGCCTCCAGGTAAAACAGTAAAAACGGTGCTGCCTTCAGTCCTAATTAGTGCATTTGCTTCTGAGTAATGTTTAAATCGTACGTTTTTCTTTCTTAAACCGTCGCTTGCTGGCTGCTAGGGCCCCTTGGGTCGCAGCCCTGTACACTTGTAGCGCCCGGAACAAATCAGGACAGTTTCGGTTTGGAGAGGCAAAGACCCCTTGTAGAAATCCCGGGAGTTGTTTGGCCGGGAAGATCTTGGGCTCTTTGCCCAAAGGTGGGATCGCCTGAGTGTCAGAGGCTTGCTTAACCAACTACCTGAGTGATAGTGATGTAGTAATGCAGTCTGTTGATTTATCTCATGCATATTAACAAGTACGAGGTACTCAATTGGGCGAGTGACGTCCTCAATATGTAAATGTTAGATATAATTGGGCTTCAGACGCTCGTAATGGTCGCTGCAATAGGAACAGTGTGTTATGAACACCAGCGTTTCTAGCTTGGGAAGGATCATGCTTGCATAAAACCAATCGCCATCGATACTTCTTGACTTGGCCAAGTAGTACTACAACCCTACAGAGGCCGTAATCAGATACGTAGCTCATTGATAACCCAGAGCTACCCAGTTTACCAGTCAAACTGGCCAAGGTGATCGACAAGATCTGCCCCTGCCAGTGTCCGGGACGGCTTCTTCCCGACAGCAACGACCACGTCCAGGCTGTCAGATCGCATCTAGAATTTAATCCTGGTTTATCTTCCCCTATAACTTTCCATTTTGACTTTGGGCCTTTCGATATTAATCGAAAACTCTTCAGGGAACTTGAATATGATTGCACCCCTTGATCTTGCTATCTCGAGTACTCAAACTGTTGTTCGCAGCCCAGGGCACGTATGTATATTTGTACCTGGAACAACTTCGTATACCAGGATCCTGGTCTTTCAACGTCAACCATCCCCGCACTCAAGGACTAATCAAATTTCAGACCAGCTTGAAGGGGGGCATAATGGTGCACATCTTATGTAGATCATCCGCCAGGAGAATGCCTGCAACAAGCACACTCCATGTTAATGAAAAGCTTTCAATGCCCACTCTTTGTCCAAGTGCACAATCAGATCTTTCGCTGAAGGCATTGAGTCTGCAGTAGATGCTGGGTAATGGGAAAAGCAAACATGGCATCATTTCCCAGGAATTAGAGGCCACTCCAAGCGGGTACTTGGTAGTGAATCGAGACCGTTCTGTTCGGCTTTGCCGTGAGCGTCATTCTGGCTCAACCCCACCCTGTACCTGAGAAGTGGATGTGCTACGCCGCCGGTAACAAATCAAGTGCGGACTGTATGGTCTAATGGTACATACAGTTCTTGTTCACTCATGCAAAGTCAGTCCGTTTGGATATGGATTTTGTATCGACTTTTAAAGCAGAACCTGATGCTGCAGATGCTGGCAATCTATCGCATTACAGGACGCCCTGCTGTAAAATCAATGACTACCGTATGGTCAGAACACCAAATGCTGTGTTATGTCCAAGTGAAGATACAGTACTCAGCTAGGGTTCGTGTGACTCTCACATTGGTTCATTTTCGTGGAAGGGAAGCACAATGACGGTGTTGCTTGCAATACTGCATTCAAGCCCATTATTTCAATAAATGATTCCCGGCCAACTAGGCCGAGAAAGAGAGCCATAATGGGCTTCAACACTCAATAGTCGCCAGTCTCGGGTAGCATGATCTTCCCTCTCCTTGAGAAATTGTTGTTTCCGATGACCCGCCCGACATCTGGCAAAACCACCAGCCAGGCTGGATGTTCGCTTATCCAAGTCTTTGATTCGCATGCTCTGACCAAAGACCCTGTCGCCGACTAGGATTGACTCGCCAACGACTGTGGTCCTGTCACGGCCATGTCCCAGTTCGCCATAACTGCGTGAGTCGTGGTAATTAAGTTGTCAGCGCTCAAAAGTTGCATGGTACACCGGCCTCTCAAAAATATCAACAGGTGCATTTTGAATCTCTCCAATGACCGCTCTGGCGTCACTCTCTTGCATGTGCGTAATTTGCGACTGGTCCCGCCAAGGGCCAAATGTTTCTCCTGCACCCTTCACCGGTCGTGGCTTAAATTGTCACGCTGCGTGAACTTTGCTGATCAAGATAGCTGGTATGATCAAGCGTTGAATACCAGAGCTTCAATAATAATGAATTTATACGTGAAAGGTCGTTCTGACAACCATTTAATCTTGACACAAAACATGGTATCTTGACAGACAAACTTTTGGTCATCATGGACAAAACCTCGCTATACAGAAACCGAACTTTCGGGAAACCAGAGAGCTGTGGAACCATTTTCCTGGAAATCCGAATACACCACAGATGTAGTGGTCAAGCCGCTTACACAACTTCGCGCAGGTGGTTGTCTTGCTGCCGATCGTATCACGCCTCGAAGACAACAAGTTGCGACGCCCGATATAGACAGTGGGGTCACACGCGAGTGCTGTCAACGGCTAGTATGCTCGGCTGTAGCACCATACGAAGCTGTCACTTTATGGACAACCCTGACAAGTAGCAGGTATTTGTTTCCAAACAAGTAACACCGATGCCATCGCTAATGCGACAAGTCAGTAGAATACCTCCTAGCTGGGTGGTGAATGCAACATCAAGGAAGGATTTCTTGAGTCCTGCTTTCCTCAGCTGTGAAAAGTGAGGGCGAAGATGAATACCAGACCTAACTGAGAATGGTACATGTACATAGCCCTTGTGCAGGGGTGGTATAGTTATCGCGTACGCATCATTTATCTCGGCAGGTTGCCCGTCATTCGTCGGCCAAAATCAGGTCGGGGTTTCTAGTGGTTCAGTTTTTTGTTTTTAACCTGGGTAACCTTTTGGTTAGGCGACTTGAACAGACAAAACACGGCTTGTTTGTTGGTGTGAACAATCACCAAGGACCACAAGTCAAACTAACGAACGAGGCTGCGGGATCGAAAATCTCTCCGCAGGGTTTGTTCGTGATGGTTGATGTTGGTGTGATAGGATGATGTGGTTGCACAGCTAAAATGTCCTTATTATGCCGCCCGCCACAGCGGATATGACAAAAGGCAGTGCTGCCCAAATAGCAGATCAGTCAATCGCTGTGCACCATGATGAAAGACAAGAGCAACATGGGGACGAGAGTAAATATGTGAGCCAAATGGACCAATGTGAATTAAGGTATATCCTTGCACAATGTTGCGAGGGTAAAAGCAAGCTGCGCTGCAGCAAGGTATATTCAGGTTAAAATCGATGAAGCAATCACGAGAAGAAGGTGGTTGTGGTTGTGATGAGGTGGCAAAGCTGCGCTTGAAATGGAAAGCATCTGCTGTTTTGGGACAACCTCTTTCCTCTATAGATCCGAGTAGGTAACTATGTTGGGGCAGGTACCCCTCCTGCACTGTCCTGTTGTCATAATGCCTCTTGAGCCTGGTTGCATTCAGCTGGTTCTTGCCTGCATCCAGGAAGTCCAGGCCTCGGAAGATAATCCCTGCAGGGAATCGAGATACCCAGATGTTATTGGTCAAGAATCCGCATCTTGATGGTTACGGCGATACATTTGTGTACAGCACTCTGCAAGCGCTGGGCCTTTACCTTCCAGACAGGGGGCTGGATGGTCGGAGACCTAAGTTCCCTGCAACCCGACGTTCTGCCTCTCAACACGACATTTGCTTGCCTGGTATTAGGTATCCAATCCAGTACCTTCAAGCATGCATTATTAGGCGCAGAGCGTCTTGCCCGAATACATACACAAACTCAATTAACAGTCAGTTGCACACATGCATGAGCATGCCCTTGAGGGGGACGCATGTTTGTTTGAGTACCTAGGTCGAGACAAACTACACTGTGCATCCATCATAATACCAGTATGAGGAGGGAAAATGCTGCCCTGTCGACGAGGTGGTACCCTCTTGCAAGACTACATCCTCTTGGCCTTCTGAGTAATGAGTGCAAGATGATGCACCCTAAAAACTTGTTGTTGACCACCACTCAACTAATAAACGTCGATATAGACAACGGTAAAATGGTAATATCAACGACAATGCCAACAGCCTAGCCTACGCCTACCTGTCCGAATAAGGTCAAGGCTCGCAAGATTGAGCGCCGCCGCCCTGGGACCCGGCCCTAAACTTGCACCGACCCTTGGAGATCTAGCGCACTACCTTGCAACTTCTTTGAGCGTAGGGTCAAGCACAAGCACAGGCTGGCGTAGGACCCGCCCGCGAGAACGGTGACTCCAAACCCAAGCTGAGGGCTCGTCCGCCGACATCATCCCTGTATTTAACCCCTGTCCACCCTTCCCAACGACAAGGCTACGCGAGGGTTTCGTTTTAGGCGTGCGCCGGGGTCTCTGAGGGTGTCGCAAAGGAGGGAGCGCTCCGCGCCGGCCTGTGCTGCCGTCGTGGCGGCGCCCTGGCCATACTCTGGATCCACAGTTCTGTATCCCTCCGAAGTCTCCCTCGAGCTTGGTACTCCTCTCTATCCCAAGCTCGGGACCTGGTCCCAGAGTTGTTCTAGGTACCTGGCCAGAGCGCAGCATCTAGACATTCTTGTATGTACTAACCGCTGGCACCCAGAATGCGCCCCGGGACCGCTGTTGCTCTACCCATGACGAGGAGAACGTCTCGCTGCGCTGTGATCTCCTCCCCTGGTCATGTTGGTCCCAGGGGTCTGAGTGCTTGTCCTTGACCCCAGCTCCCTCGGGTATGAACCCACACGCCATCTCGCAGATTGTCTCTCATGACAGGGCCATAATGACTGCCGCTGTTTTCCAAGGACCCTCTCTGTCCATCAGCTGTGTACAACGCGTACAAGTCCTTCCCTTCTTTTACCCTCGCACGCCCCTCCAAATCCCCATCGTTGCTTTCCCTTCCGACTAAGAACCTCCTTCGTCAACTTCATCCTTAAGAGGGCAGTTTGACTGATCTTTGTCTCACCATTGAGGAACCTTTCTCGCTTGCCCGGATTATCTGACGTCCAGCAAACACTCTTCAAAAGACCACCTCATCCCGCTATCCCATCTCAACTCTCGGATATTCACGACATCTTCACTCTTTTGTCTTTTATATTGCCCAGTATTTCTCTGGCCCAGCCACTCTTTACTTGTACTCGACAGGATATTATTGCTCTATCATCCAGTCATTTCTCAAACACCCCGAGTGTCGTAGGTTCACGCTTCAACTTACACGAGGCTCTGAATCTTCATTCCAATCATTACCACCACCTCGCAACTTGCATTCCTCAGAAGCGGCCCGTGATGGAGAACATGGGTTCATACCACCACCAATCCCCATGGTCTGGTTGGACTTACCAAACCCATGCCAGCCAGTACCCTAGATACTCTCAGCAGCTACCTAGTTATGCCGCTTATCTCCCCGAATCGATGGAGCTCTACAATGCTCACCAGGGTCATCTCCTACACCATCACCAAATGTCTAGAACAACTGAGACAAAGCCTAGACTTTCTAAAGAGGAGGTCGAGGTGCTTGAGGCCGAGTTTCTAAAGAACCACAAGCCCAACAGCACAGTCAAGAAAGCATTGGCCGAGTCGATGAGAGTTGACAACGCTCGCATCAACGTATGTCCCAAGTTGAATCAAGTCTTTCACGTTACTAACCATGTAATAGAATTGGTTCCAAAATCGACGAGCGCGGGAGAAGAAGGAGAAAAACATTCGGGAGTACGCGGCCAAACAAAGACTGGACAAGGACACAGCTATTAATGAAGCTGGTGTTCACTCAGACGACGATCGCCTCTCTGATCGTGTTGTTTCCAGTGCTCCATTTCCAGCCCCTCGTCATGTTGGAGCCCGGACGACAAGCATATCGAGCCCAGAGCAGGAGAGCGAGAATGACAACAGTCAATCTGATTTTGGAGTCGGGTCGTCTCCAGACCTATCTTCCCAACCAACGCCTGAGCCTCTCTCTGCATCGATCAGTGCATCTCTGGCCTGCTACAGCCAGTACCCCCAACTCATCGTGCCAGACGATGAGGATGATGCCACTCCTTCTCTGCCTCAGCAGTGCTTCCCACAGCCATCCACATCACCTATCCAAGAGCAATATATGTACTCCAGAAACAGTCTTGCTGTCAAACAGTCCAACCAGCCCTCGACGTTGAAGCCTTCTCCTTCAATGGATATTGCCTCTCGTCGAAACAAGCGCCCCCCTCAACTCGCAATCAACGCCCCTCGCAGTTTTTCGGCAAGCGGACCCAGAACTGGGATCGATGTTGGGAGAAGAGCTGAGGTGGGACATTCGATGCGCCGTGTTGCCTCCGCAACTGGAGTTGGACGCATCGGTAAGCCTATGACTGGTCCTCGAAGCCCTTACTTTGAAAGAAACCCAGACGTTTTATTGCAGCTGAATCGTTCCCCCAACTTCCAAAAGTCGACTACCATTGCACCACCTACTCCTAACACTCCTGCTGTTGGAAATCACCAGGGCCTATGTGAGGCTACCCCGGCCAGCACCGTGGGATACGAAGAGAAATACCCGATGGATCTTGCAATCCATGACCCAACACTCCGAACCCCACCTACCACTCCTGGAGTCATGGACCACTTGTACAACAATGATTCTAACTATCAAGTTGCCATCGCCGATGAGCCTTTGGTGACACCAGGACTGGCAGCCTTTTCTCATGACTTCGAGGTGCCCGGCTCATCAAGCCAAGTACCTAACTACCTCTCTCACGGATGCGCTAGCCAGCCTCAGACTCCATCATACACTGCTCCAATGGGTCCTACCTATTTTGGCTTTGCTGGTGGAAACGCCGAGTACAACTGGTCTGATGATGCTTCGCTATCAGCGCACTCATCCCCTGGACAGAACCAGCAAAACGTCAACTTCATGAACATGACCCCCTCGAGCTTCACATACTCAGACAAATAATTGTCCTTCACGTATATTCATCATCATCACATTGCTTTTCAGCACCAGCATTTGAACTTTGTACATAAATAGCGATATTTTACTTTCTTTCTTTTCTTCTTCAAGGATCTTGTACAGTATAGACCTGATGCCTTTTTGTCAGCAGGGAATGGCAAAAGAAAAGCCAGTCATGGCAATTACCTAGTATTTTCCCTTTGTTCTTGACGAATGAAACCAACGGCATCAAACCCTAATGTAATGGGAATACGGCACTGGATGGCGCTCAGGAATGTACACAGGGAGCGAGCGGGGGTTGTTCGTCATGGGATACCGGCTACACAAACTTGGGCGCAAAATTTCGACGGCAACGGAAGAAGATGATGCATAAGTGCTGGCTATTTGAGGAGCCGGAACAAAGCATGTGGAAGGGAGGACAGCCAAGTTGGAAACATAGAGAAAACAAATACAACAAAAAAATATAAGTCAACCAAGTCTCAGCGTATTATCACTGTCGATCGAAGATAGCCTCACGGAACATGGTTCCTGGACGTATCGTACTGTGCCCGTAGCATTCATGCTAGTTTGTTGATTAAGCTTTCAACGTGCAGAGAATAGCGATCCATGATGTTAAGGCCCCAACGCGTCCTAACCAATAACTTTGTGGTGGTGTCCCACATTCCTTTCCTGTAAACTGGTTGCTCAAGCAGGAACGGGTTTTGCCCTAATGGAAAGAGAGAGGCAAGCCCGGGAACTTTATTCATAAGTTAAATTAAGTCGTGATTCATAGTACGGTAGATGGTTGCACATGGAAGCCTCGTCCCAGGAGTCGGGTCCCGTCAACTCTCCATCCCGGGCCGAGAACCAGCTTCGGGGTTCGGCCCCGCCGCCACAGACAGCCAATTAGGCAGTTACATTGTCGATCTTTGAGCGATAAGACCAGGAAAAGGCCATTGGCCTGGTCCCGCTTTGCACGTCCCAGGATCTGTTCCGAGGCAATGGATACAGGCGGGAGATCGACACTACAAATGCTGGGGTCTAATTTCAATACTGCAGATATACTGTACTGTACTAAATCTGTGCCGTATTAAGTTATTGATCAGGCACTCAATTGAATTAATGGTGATTGAACAACTGATGTTGAGGTTTTACTCTGGTTCCTGTTGAGGATGTATACAATGGGCCATTTAGAGGCACCTATTTCCACGACCGTTTCCTCTTCTAGCGTCTTAAAAAGAGATATCACGCCATAAATGACATTTCCATGCTTCGAAAAATCTAGTCACCTTGACTTTAGAAAGACAAACGGCACCAAACCTACTCAACGGCCGTTCAGCCAAGACAATTCGATTCAGAAGCTTGACAGTTTCCGAAAACCAAAATCCCACATCGTAAACTAATGTAAGGGCCAACGACTTTAAGGAATGCATTTCTTTCTGTTCTTTGTAGTAATGTGGGGTGTGTGTATAGCCAACTAGGTACATAGGGAAACTCTAGAAGCTTTGGCTACAGACAGAGTGTTGACTATGGAAGTTAGCGACTGTATATTCCAATAACCAGGCAGAGTTCAGTATACAGGTTGTAGCGAAAACAGACTATGAAATCAGTGTCATTTTGTATTCAGTATAATTTCAAACATTGCTTTGTTATATAATCTAGTCAATTTCGTAAGTCTTCAACACCAATATTTAATTGTTTGGTTTCTGCAATACGCTTTCTCCGAAAATAGTATATCCCAAGTCGTACGCTTCCGTGATTGGCACACAACACGTTGTAGTAAGCTACGTGCTTTGCAGTTGAGTATTCAAACTCATGACGAGGAACAGTAATAGGGAGACAAGATTCTAACACAGAACACACGGTAGCTGATGATTGAATTATGTAAATGGAAACCCAGAACACTCAAAGAATTCATTCGCCACGAAATACTTTCCCAAGTTTCTTGCGCTTTCTGCTCGACATGAGGAACCAGCGTGGAAGAAATATTGAGATAACGATCAAGATACCGATGTGATCATTGATTAACAACATCGGTATATTTGACAACACGACGTCACTTTCTTTGGTCGCCAGTTACGCGAGTCGCTCGAAATCCAAGTTGTATCCTCGATATCATAGGTAGATCGATCTACATAAAACTGAATGGCACCAGACAATTGTTAGTTGGCTTCTGATCCGATCGATGACGTTAAATCCCTACAACGATGAATGCGCGCCATGACAGGAAACGCGCCATGCATCGGCTGGTCTTTAATATACTAAGCTCAAGGAAGTAAAGATTAATGAAACAGTCGGGGAAAATGCCCACTGCCTGGTCTTGCCATGGCCTAAGATGATACACGAGATCCATGCTAGGTAGGTAAATATGGAATCCCACGGGCGGGCGAACGTCTGAGTTACAGCGCGTTAGACTATAGTGGTAACAGTCCGTAGAACCATGGAAGGCCCAGCGAGTTCATAGGACATGATAACAGGTTAGATTTTCAATATGCAATCTAAAATTGAGATAAATTAGAAATATGAAGACGAACAATACAATCAATCGTTTTCTGTATTATCGTTTGATTCTTCTAATCTAATATGTTTATCAGATCTATCAAGTATAATACCCCTTGCGTCAATTCCCAATTACAAGAGTAATGGATGAAAACGCGGTGCAGTATTACAGTCAACGCGACAGTGGTCCTGCCGAATACGTCAGTGGGTAATCGGAGACAACCCAACTGTTAGTGTGCCTGCTATGGATCGCGCACGCGCCAACTCACGTAAACCACTTTAACACTCGTGAAATATATCCAATCTGAGCCATACTCTCAACAACAACAGGTTATTTTTTGCAACCTTACGACTATGTTCTAATACCCTTTTTTGTTTTTCGACCTTTAATATTATCAAATGGAACTTATTGTATGACCACCCTACCGTATCTATGTCCTTTTCCGCCATTACTGGCAGCGACGCGTCGCGTCCAGCGCGGTCGAGGATTTTAACCCCAAGCTCGGAGGGGAGCTTAAATCACAAAGATGAGCTGCATTCGCCTGAAAAACGCCAGAAGACGAGGGCCGACTCGGTTACTATGGATCACCTCTTGAAACCTTCAATTGCTGTCAAGGTCAGTAATTGTTCATTCTCGTACCATTGAATACCCCAACTCATTCGTGATTCTACAGCCGCATCCGCCGAAGCTTCATATCCAGCCTCGTATCCTCCACCCATTGATGGTCCTCCCTCGCGAACGTCTACCGCTGTCCTGTATCGATTTCCATGCCACGAATGTCGACCTCGCCACATACCGCTTATTCGAAGCCAATATCAAGATTCTTGACCTGGAAAGCCGCATGGGTTCCGTCCCTGTTGTCCTTCTTGCCAGAAAAGAAGGGAGCCGCGCCGTGTATGCCCTCGAGAAGCAGGAGAGTGGACTTTATGTTGTATGTAGACTAGGTCCATGGGTAAACTTGGACCTCTTAGCAGACAGTGCAACTGCCGTCTGTCGAGAACGCCTACATCCAACTACCAGAAGCGAGCACCAAAACCAGAACGGCCCGTCTGCGATTACTACGCCCCATATACACAAGGAAGAGAAGATGAAGCGCGCCGCCATAGAGGCTTTTCAGTCTCAAGTTCGCAAGCGACCAAGATCGCAGTCTGTTTCAACGTTGGCCGAATCTGTGAAACAAGAGGCAACCGAAGCTGCCACGCCCACGGAGTCAAAGCTGCCATCCCCAATCATCCAACTAGAGGAACTCAAAGGGAGGTCAAACGAACACACGGCGCAATCACTACCTGTGGGGATCTCAAGTGACGCCAAGACCGAAGAGCCTCCTAAGCAACAAACCGCAGAAGACATTTTTGATACACTCAGAACTCAGTACTTCGACATGCTATACAAGTCTATGGTGGGTAGGAACAAACTCGCCCTTTTTCACACTTGCTAACCAGTTAAGGGATCACTCGCCTATTTTGCCAAAGGGCCACTCTCGCGCGCTCGTTCGGCGTTTCATCTTGATCTCGAATCCAATCTCAACTTAGCCGATCTTATCGAGTTTTTGAAGAGCCTTGTTCTCACCACTGTACAAATCGACAAAAAATATCGTCAAACCATCCCTGCGCTTATTGCACAGATGAAAACAATGGTTGAGAGTTCCGATGAGGGTCGAAAAAGAAAGCGTAGAGCCAGGAAAATGAAGATTGGCAAGGACGGCCTCTATCCGCACGAGCAAGCTCATATCAGAAAGTGGTGGGCTACCAATCAGCCCGAACTGAAAGATGATGAAACGAATGTGTCTGACCATCAAACCAAATCCATCACTTCTATGCTTCACACAAGAGAGACTCAACTCCAGATGATCATCATATTGGAGATCCTTGCACTGACTCCTCTGAAGCCCGCAGATGATGCTGAAGACAGTCAACTTCCTCTGTTGCCTGGCGCTGCTGAGTCTCAAGGTGATATGGCTCCTCCATCCGCCAAGAAGCGGAACAAGCACAACTTACCTATGCTTGTGGATGTTCATGCTGATCGTTTAACAATCTGGCATACTGCATCTGATCAGCAGCTGCTGCTGGAAGATTCGCAAGTCTCCCAGACTCTGGATGGACAGTCTCAGCAGAAGTCGTCTTCAGAGCCTCTCAAAGACTTCTGCGTAGACATCATTGTGCCATTGTAAGTCTCGAACCGGCTCATGGTCATCATTACCACAGCGACTAACTATGTTAAACAGCTTCTCTCACAGGCTACCGGAGCTTTGTGATTTAATCAACCGCAAGTTAGGAGGACCCGTCATCGTGAAACCCTCAAGGCCTAAGACCTTAAGACGGCCATCCAGTAAACAATCTCCAAAGCCGGGTACAGTGGCAAAACGCTCCGTGTCAGGGCAGCCCACAAGAACATTGCAGAGAGCACTTTCAACAGACCAGCAGTTTCGACGGAGTGCTTCGAGAGGCCCTAGCAACATGATTGCGCTTATGCGATCCGCAACTACCACTGCCTTGCCAGGAATCAAGCGGGAAGCAAGCGATCCTGCCTTGGTCAAGTCGGTGCTGGGCAATGACCCCGACTTGATGAACAGAAAGAGTGGTCCTTTGCCACGAAGCAGCAGTGCATCTTATTTGCAAGATGCCAAGATGAGCAAGAAAGCACAAGTTGAAGCAGAGTTGAGGGATGCCATCTCTTCGTTGAGAAAGCCGAATCGCCAGGTGGTTGGGCAGGCGCTAGCTGAAGCAGCAGAGCGCCGCGCAACTGTGAGTTCTTCGGCAAAGAGTACGTATCGGAATTCAAATGTACAAACCCCTCAGCTAACATTGTTCTAGAAGCGAGAAAGCCGATCAAAGGTTCCTTCGGCACGCCGGTTGTAAAGGCGACACCCGCGAACGTGCGTTTTAAGGATGTGTTTGCCTCGAGGGCCAATACAATGGAAACGCCCCTGATGAGTACTGAGGATGTCATTCCTCCTTCCAGCCTTCCTTCGATGGTTCCCTCTACAGGTTATCATGGAGGAGGCCAACGGAATGCTTTTAGACAAAGTCGAACTCCCGATTTTGAGAGGATTGGTAGTACGCCAACCAAGACTGCATCGACTTTTATCCGGCGGCCTGCAGATGATCCAGATGTTTTACCGTTTCCGCCTTCCTCGCCATGTTTGGAACGAAGAACTGTGTCCGCTGCGAATCTATTCAACCCCACAGGCATTACGGATCGCAAAAGAAAGGTCAGTTTTGAATCATCTCTAAACGACGAGATCTTGGCTACGCCCGTCAAGGCTATCAAAACAAAGAGCATAGAAGATCTCAAAAACATAAGAATGGAACCTGCACCCGCCAAGCAGGTATCGATTTATCAAAAATTGGGATGGGATGATGATATAGATGACCTGTTATGAGTTGCCTATCGGAGCATTTTCAGCGGTGTTTTTACAAAGAGTTATGCATTGTATGCAGCAGGAGTTATTATAAGCATTATTAAAAGGCGTTGAGGCCATGGCAAAACTGTATTCACAGCAGTATTTCAGATAAGACACATGACACAAATAATATGACAGCTGAACATAAAAGACATTGACTCATCTAGGCAGGATTTCATGCAGCCGCCCCTTCTACCAACATAGTGGGTAAATCTCTGATGTCAACATGTTCCTGCGATCCCAGGTCCACGACACGCATCGCCTCCAGACCTACAACACCTTCTTGCAGCGCCAGGAACTGAAGCTCAACTACGTGACAGGCCCCCGGTGCCAGAGGGCCAACGCGGGTATCAGCGCTCAGGCACACAACATCCGTAGATTCGACAGACGAGTTTTTCTGTAACGCGTGAAGCACATTCTCATCCGTAACTGCATCAGCGACGTCTTTTTGCCCTTGTTTTCGACCGCTCACCGAAGGTGGCCGTGTCATGCGGACCTCGCCTCGCCGTCTTTTGGGAATTGCAACAAGAGCAAGCTTACGCGGAGGTACAGAGGTTTTATCTGTGGCACGGTTGACAATGTAGACAGTCCAAGAAAAGATTTGCCCTGGATGGACCGGCTCAGATGGGCCCGTGAAGGTCATGGTGATGCCAAGTTCTGCGACAGAGGCCTCGGTATTAGATGTGGCAGCCTCAAGAGTAGGAAGAGCGTCAGGACGTATGACAGATGGCGATATTAAAGGGTGAACCGCTTGTCCGGTGATTGAGAGTTGAGATGGACGATGGGCGCGGACGATGCCCGTTCCCGCAGTTGCTGAACCATAGCCAGGGTTAACGGGAAGGGTGAAATCGAGTTGAGTTGTCCACGACATGGTCATTGTAGGCGTACAACGGCCAGGTACAACCTGGGCGGTGGCGGAGATTGTTATATCAAGTTCCCGCATCGGGTTCTTGACAGTCACATCGTGCTGGCGGGGAGCAATACGGTAGAGAAGTGTGATATGGTCGTGAGACACACAAGCAAGGGGAAGTTGCATACCCGCATCGTCGTTGAGATTCTCAATAGTTGCGTCAAGGATTGAGAGGTCGATCTTGTCTAGTGTTATCTCACAGTCAAAATGAGAAGTAAAATCAACTTCGAGTAGCGCAATAACAGCCGAGCTTGTTGGTGATGTAGTCGGCCGTGAGAAGCGAATTCTTGTATGGATTAGAGGGAAGATTTTGTGCTCAATGTGAGGCAGGGCCCGTATATGCTTTGTCACATCTTGCGAGCGTGTCACAGGAGCGACTCTCGATACTCGAAGCGCTGACAGCCGAGGCTTAACTCCGCCAAGTGCAGCATCACTACCAAAGGACTCAAGCAGATTAAAGCCAGAAGGCACTCCACTTTGAAGGTAACCGCTCCCCTTTCCGATTGTATCGGTTGATAGTTCAGGCTTCAGACTTGCAGATGCAGTAAAAATGATGGCTGGCGTAGAAACCCGTGTTCGGGGTCGACTAAGAAAGATGGGCAGTTTCCAAACAGCAAAGACATTCTGGAGTTCGTTCTCATCGCCGCTTTCTTCGTCACTTTCATCTTCGTCATCTTCTTTCCCTTCTCCATCGACGATAATGAAAGGATCGTCGATGTCTGGGGCAGTACCTGAGAAGATACTCTCTGAAGTGGAGTTTTCCTTGCCGTGAGTGTTCTGGTTGACAATATGGGCTTCAACGGATATCACTAGCCGGCTGATGTGAGCGCGAAGTGTTGGTTCATCTTTCCAAGGACTTTTGAGTAGTAAAAGAACATCTACAGTCTCATCTGGCGACGTGTCAGTGATAAAACTTGGCATAATGTGAATTGGCGTACCGAAGAATAATGCGTCTCGACGCTTGATTGATTCTAATATAGACTTTCCGGGCTCGACACCTTTAAAAGCTGCTTCTAGGTCCAAGCCTGTATCTTCCGGTATAAGATAGGACAAGTTGGATTGCTCTGCGAACTCAGTTGTAGGGTCTGTAATGAAGAGGCTTCTCTTAAGCTGAGTGAGAGATTCAGGCTCATGGTCATTGGACTCTGAAGGGATAGACTCCCTGTCTGGCGTTATCCCAGAGTCCGACATATTAGTAGATGATGTAAGTAGCGTTTTTGCTCAGGAGATGCGGCCTTGTACTATCCAGACTCTAAAATCGTGTATTTTCGAATGACTTGTGCTTTTTATTGTTGATTAGATTACCCGTGTAAGTCGGAATGCAACTCATGCCCCCCTTAGCGACGTAAAGTCACTTGCTTGTAAGATGCCTTAGTCATCACGTCACCAAACAGCCTGTCGCGATGCCACTTGATCCGTGCGCAAAAAAATTAGTGGCGCCGAAATCGACTTAAGCACCTCCGCGTTGCTTCAGTTTTTGATCCTGGTTTCACGCCATTGTCAGCATTTTATCACAATCAGAGTATTTGACACGAGCCTACAACAGTAAGATCGCGTCGCGTATCTCTGATACATACATTGAAAGACTCTCCTATGATGAACGGCTTCGGTTCTCCTTATGGCCAGCCGGCTTCGGCCTGGCAAGAGCACCATACGCCTGATGGACGAGCCTACTACTACAACGCAACTACAAAGGCGACGCAATGGACGAAGCCAGAGGACATTATGAGTCCCGCCGAGGTTCGCTTCACCCTTTGCAAATAAGAAAGTGATGAAAGTCAATGCTAACATGCGACAGCGCGCTCTTGCGAACCAGCCATGGAAGGAATACACTGCTGAGGGAGGACGAAAATATTGGTATAATACTGAGACGAAACAGAGCTCCTGGGAGATGCCGGATGTTTACAAAACAGCTATCGGTGCAACAAGCAAGCCTGCTACTCCGGCCTCCGCAACTCCTTTCACGCCTCCTGCCAGCGCTGGTGGCTACTCCCAGGCACCTTACGATCAGCATCGTGATCAGCGCGACACGTACTCTGAACCTCGCCAGATAACATACGGAAACGATCCCAAAGTCCAGGCTTTTGTGCCTGCAACAAACGATCCTGAATACGCGACCGCCGAAGAGGCTGAAGCTGCCTTCGCTAAACTTCTTCGACGAAGTGGAGTTCAACCGGACTGGACTTGGGAACAAACAATCAGAGCCACTGCGCGGGACCCTCAGTTCCGTGCCATTAAGGATCCTAAGGATCGCAAGGCCGCTTTCGATAAGTATTGCCAGGATGTGGTGATCCAGGACAAGGAGCGAGCTAAGGAAAGGTTGGCTAAACTCCGTGCTGACTTTGAGACTATGCTCAAAAGGCATCCCGAGATCTCTCATTACACCCGCTGGAAGACCGCGCGTCCTATCATCGAAGGCGAAACCATCTTCCGCTCTACCAACAACGAGGAGGAGCGTCGACAACTCTTTGCAGAGTACATCATCGGCTTGAAGAAGGCACACGCAGAGCGGCAGACATCTCTGAGGAAGAACGCTATGGACGGACTCATTGATCTGCTTCCCAAGCTCAACCTGGAGCCTTACACTCGATGGGCTGATGCTCAAGGTATCATTTCATCTACCCCGCCCTTCCAAAATGACGAAAAGTACCAGGCTCTTACCAAGTTTGACATTTTGACTGCTTTCCAAAACCACATGAAGGCTCTGGAGCGCAGGTTCAACGACACGAAGCAAGAGGAGAAGAACAAGAAGCTCCGCAAGGAACGAAAGGCACGTGATGCTTTCAAGTCCCTCCTCAACGAGCTTCGCCGCAATGGCAAAATCAATGCTGGAACAAAATGGAACCAGATCGTTCCCCTCATCGAGAACGATGTCCGCTATACCGATGCCGTTGGTCAAAGCGGCTCCACGCCTCAAGAGCTGTTCTGGGATGTCATCGAGGAGGAGGAACGTGGTCTACGCGGGCCCAGAAACGATGTTATAGATGTTCTTGAAGTGAGTTGTTGCCATGTAACTGTTTGTTATACAATTTAGTTTACTAATAACATACAGGACAAGCGGTTTGATCTCACACCCACGAGCAACTTTGAAGAGTTCCTCTCCATCATGAAAGATGATCGACGGACTGCTAACATTGATCCGGATATCCTCAAACTCGTTTTTGACCGAGTACGTTACCACAGTGTCGTCCTCATGATGCTGACTTGCTAACAAGATTACTAGCTTCGCGAGAAACGCTCGTCCAGGCGGGACGATGATCGACAAACTGAGCGCCAGCAACGAAGAGCTGTCGATGATTTGCGTGCATACATGAAGCGCATGGAGCCTCCTATCACTCTCAGTGATACATATGACAAGGTACGACCTCGACTCTTGAAATCAGATGAGTTCCAGGCCATTGCATCCGAGGATGCTCGACGAAATGCGTTTGACAAGCACATCCGACGTCTACGAGAGAAGGAAGATGAAGCGGACCGAAGCTACAGACGACGTGATCGTATGTCCAGTGAGAGAGACTTGCATCGCCGTGAGCGCGACCGATCTAGAGGTGAGCGATCTCATCGTAGCGGTGGACGTGGTTCTCGACGAAGTCGCAGTCCGGAGCCAGATGCCTACGAAGCGGACCGACGCAAAGCAATCGCCGAGCGAGAGCGCAACCATCGAAAGTCCACCATGGCCGAAGGTCTCTTGGGGTCAGAACGCAGTCGCCTGTCGCCGCCACCTCGCCGTGAGCGAGAACGAGAGCGCGAGCGTGACCGGGAACGAGATCGAGACTACGACCGACCTGCTCGATCGCGCCGCGATGACGACAGTTACTATGACCGTGAACGAAGAGACCGGGAAGACGAGCGCGAGAGATCGTATCGTCGTCGTGCCGACCGCGGATCCCATGATGAACTTAACTATGGAGATGAGCGACCTTCTGGATCCCGACGACGTCGTCCCGATGACGACGAAGACGGTGCTCGCCGTGAGTCACGAGACGCCAAGGTATGAAGCATCGCAGAATATATTTGATGTAAAACACGTCTAACAAGAATACAGAGAATTAAAAGAGAGCGATCTCGGGAGCGCACGCCACCTCGTGTTGAAGAACGTCCTCGTAAGAAAACCCCTCCTCCTGCAACTAAGGACGTTCATTCCGGAAGTGAAGAGGGTGAGATTGAGGAGGATTAAGAGCAGTATTTATCGATTGACCTCTGTCTTTCTACCTTTGGTTAAATAAGCTGCTGCACTCTTTCTCAGTACGCATCGTCGAACCCCTAACAACGTCCACCGGGCGAGATGACTTGGGAGTATAGGCTTGCGGCTGTTGGTCGCCATGGCCGTCCAGTGCCGCAGCGGCGGAAACACATGGCGACCACTCTGCTACAGATGAGCAGTTTTTTGGCCAGTATGTGTCTTTTCCCATTCTTATCCTAGTCTAGGTTTATATATTTGTGAACTTATACAGGGGGCCGTGTTTCTGGAGTTTATTGTGGAGGCTACACTGGCAGTTTTAGGTACTATCTAGAAGTAAGCAACCATAGTTTAATTAACGACTTTCTTGGACGATCCATTCTCTTGCAATTGAACTATTTAGAACTAACCGATAGCCATAATTCTCTATGGAAGTTGTTTCCCGCGAGGTAGGAAACGTCAGACGGCAGAGATCCTGCTAGATCCATTGTCCCTCAATCTACGAAGCCACCCTGCTGCCATGTTACGGGGATCTGGGGAGTTGTAAAGCCCTAGAGAACTCCAAACAGGGAACAAACCAGGATATACCAATCAAGAAAACCAACGGCTTTCGTAGGACCAGACAACAGGGGATACGCTGCCGTCACCATCGTTATTCGTCTGGATCGTCATCCTCGCCGGCGCTGCGCTCATCATATATTCCTAAGTCCCGCTGCTTTCGCCGATTCCCATTTTGAACGCCACAAACGCCGGGAGATGCACCATCAAGGGGAGGCAGAGTCTCGTTATAAACGCCTTTAGCTCTGGTCAGGGTTCTCCTCCAAGAAGAACTGTACAAACTTATTAGTCAAAGATCACAACATATAAGTAAGGATGAAGTAAACTTACGTAGTTGCCGCCCAGCTTCTGCTCTTGGTCGAGCTGAGATCCGTTCTTGTTGATGCGGGGGCGGTAGTTGGTAGGGTCACGGCGGAAAGTGACGTTAAGGTTCTTCAAGAAGGTGTTGCAGCCAGTGAGAAGAGACTCGGGCTTGTTGGCGTGAGCATCAATACCAGGCTGTCCGTCAAAGACAATGACTCGGTCAGCGAGATAGGTGGCCATGATGAAATCGTGCTCGACGATGAAGGCAGTCTTCTTGGAGTGCATGATGAATCGCTTGATAACACGCGAGGCGATGATACGCTGCTCGGAATCGAGGTAGGCAGAGGGCTCATCGATAAGGTAGATATCAGCAGGGATACCGAGAGCAAGAACAATAGCAACACGCTGCAATTCACCACCGGACAGGTTCTTGACTTCCTGGTCAATGAAGTCGTCAAGCTTGAGGGGCTTGACAACGTCGGTCTGGAACTGGGGAGACAAGAAAGACTGCTTGATCTTCTTGAAGAACAGCTGGCGAACAGTACCATCGAACTTGGGGGTAATGGTCTGGGGCTTCATGCTGATTCGCATCTCGGGGACGCTCTTCTTGCTGTCGGGCTTCAGGGCGCCGGCCAAGAGACGACAGAAGGTTGTCTTTCCAGTACCGTTCTCACCCATCATGACAATGATCTCGGAATCAGTGAAGTCACCAGCTTCGATGCTGAGCTTGAAGCTGCCTAGGGTCTTCTCCATCTTGGGGTAGGTGAATGCACGCGACTTGTCGATTTGGAACTCATCGGCGGTCTCTGCAATTCTGAAGGTCAAAGACTCATCACGGAATCGCAAGTTTTCGGTGGGGATGTGACCGTCAAGGAAGATGTTGATACCCTCACGTACGGAGTAGGGGAGTGTGACGACACCGTAAACGGCAGGCCTGCCGTAAAGAACGCAGATGTAGTCGGAGAGGTAGTCGAGAACAGACAGATCGTGCTCGACAACGATGACGTAGTCGTTGTCACGGAGGAGAGAGCGGATGACTAGAGCAGCGCTCAAACGCTGCTTGACATCGAGGTAGGAAGAAGGCTCGTCAAACATATAGACATCGGCCTGCTGAACGGCGACAGTTCCGATAGCGAAACGCTGGAGCTCACCACCAGAGAGGAGGTTAATATCACGGTCCATGATATGGTTCAGCTCAAGGACGTTGGCCATCTCTTCCATGTTGCCGAGCGTGGCTCGGCTCTCGATGAGGTATCGGACACTCTTGTTGGGGCCTCGAACGGCCCTTGGGATTTGATCCACGTACTGGGGCTTGACAACGGCCTTGAGGTCATCCTCCAGGAGCTTTGTAAAATAGTCTGTTTCATGATCAGCACACACGCATCCCTCTCCTGGGATCACGAATTGGGTACTACATACTCTGAAGCTCGGAACCACGGAAGTGCTTAATAACTTCCTCCCAGTCAGGAGGGTTGTCATGTCGGCCCAGGTTGGGCTTGAGCTTTCCACTCAGAATCTTGAGGGCAGTGCTCTTTCCAATACCGTTGGTACCGACAAGTCCAAGCACCTGGCCAGGTCGGGGCATGGGAAGACGATGCAACTTGAAGCTGTTGGGACCATATCGGTGGGTGACCTGACTCTCAAGGTTGGTGGGCAAGTTGATAATGTTGATCGCATCAAACGGGCAGCGCTTTGGGCAAATACCACAACCGATACAAAGGGACTCGGAGATAAAAGCCAGCTTGGAGTCGGGCTGGACTTCGATACAGAGCTTTCCGCTACGAACGACGGGGCACGACTTTTTGCACTCTTGACGACATTTTCGCGGGCGACACTAAAAGGAGGGGTTAGAAAATGTTTGGCAGGCGGCGGGGCACTTGTTGATGCTGATGCTGATGATCACACACCTTGTCGCTGTTCACGATAGCAATACTGTTGAAAGGCCTGTTAGTTTATCTCTTTGTTGTTGTTTTTTCTATTTTCTCGAGTCGCATCGACGTACCGCGTGAGTTTATCAGACATTTTCGCGATAGCACAACAGATGTTGCTTTAATCAAGGTTTTGGTGGGGTGGGAATTTGTGGGAAGAAAGATGAAGGACCTGAGCAGAAGTCGACAACAGAGTGTCTCACGCGCGCAAAATATGATGACACGCGGGCACTCGTCGAAGACTCTTTATGAGGAACGGGTTACACGGTGAGAAGAAAACGAGGGGAAGAAATCAAGGTAAAAAGAAGTTCCAAGGTTAGGCTCAGGTTGTTTGGATTGTGTGGATGGTAATCCAATTTTCAGGCCCTGTCATTAGTAGGTTTGGCGGGGCTGTGGACCGCTGAACTTAACACAGGCAAGCAAGGTACTGCGGTACGTACCTGTCTTTTGCATGACGTTGTCACTGCGACAAATTATAGTTCTCTAATGAATCAACCTATGCTTTTTATTAATATCTAAGCCTGAAATTACGCTTCTCGGATCAGTAGTCAGCGTCTATGATCGATTTGAATAATAATACTAAAGTGCTTGCTGTTAATAGGTGCAGGATATCAACCACTTTAGTACCAAGGTACCTAGGCACCTATAAAGCTGGTGGCTGATATAAAAGTTGTGATGCTTAATATATAGCTTGACCTTCCAGCTGGTTTGGATTTATTCTCTCTATTACCTTTGGGTAATTGACAAAAGTGCTGAAGGTTTACATAGTTCTTGGTGACTCATATTCCTCGTGAACCAATATCATTATGTAACCCGGTCTCGACTTTAAGGTCATGCATATCACATTCCAACATATACCTACCTAGGTTCCAATCAGTTATGGTAACATTTTAACACGTGACTATGAAGTAGCGGTATCTCATACTAGGTACATATGCATTTACAATCGATCATGCAGAGCAGCAAATTCTATGTGCTTCACATTTAAATCCACGGTTAAACTGGTCTCTTCTCACGGAAAGACCCGTAAAACACGATCTATTATAAAGCCAATAGATGTGCGCGATTGGGCATCCGACAAACGACGAACAGAAACTATCATTAATAGGAATGTGTTTTCAGTGCTAAGAAAAAATCCAATTACAATTGAAATTGTTGAATGCAAACAACCAACGAGAACAATTGGGCCAGGCAGCCATAAATAGAGCGCAGAAAACATTAGCAAGAACTGACATCTCGTTTAGGGTAACAGTCGGAACAGTCTACGCTTATTGGCTAACCATAAACTCAGGTATGTAAAAAGCATAGTCCTCTAAGTAAGAGTTAACAGGCAGCTTGCTACACGAATGTTTAACCTCAAACAGCAGATAAAAATGCGTGAGCTTTCTGGAAGGAGAATTAAAAACAGTAGAAATTAAATTTACAGTTTAAACCCACGCGTAACTGTAACGTTTGTTGCAGACTAAAGAACCTAATGTCTTGACATGGCACAGTGATGCTGTCCAGGATCACGTGAGCATACTCCACCTCTCAGTGCTCTCACCCCGTGCAATCAATCCAAATCTTCAGGTTCCTGCCTCTCCACCAAATTGATTCTCCCGTCCCTACCCACGTCACCGGGCCATCGATAACCCCGAACGTATCCTGACAGGCTCCCGATATTATCTACATGTTGCCTGCAGTCTGTAGATTATTCTTTAATGACTTGTGAGTTTACCCTGCTCTTCCTGCTCCTTTCAGTCTCTACCGCGCTTCTGGCTTGCTGGCCTGTCGCCTATCGTCGATCCCGCCTCGGCCTCGACCATACCCATCGCGATATTGCCTTCATAAGAGCCTTATATATGTTTTATCACGATAAAACTTGATGGATTCGATGCTTCACGCTCGGATAGATGCTTCTGCGATCCGACACACCATATCCGAGCTGTTGTATCCTTTCAATCGCGAGTTGGGGGTTTTTCATTAACCTTGCCATCGATAACTTACACGGGATGCGACAAGTGACGAACCTCTACTGTTCTTCCCATATCCCGCCCTTTCTGGCGTCGCTTATGGGTCGCCAGAATCGCGTCGTCCCAATAATCCCTCAAACACACACGTCACACCAGGCCATCAGCTAATATCGTCGCGTCTTTAGTAGGTAGTCTGCTTCATCACCAACATGATGTCCACCCCTGCTTTAGGGGGTCCTTCGAACGGACACTTATCGCCTGGCGATGAAATTAGCATGTCTTTTGATACAGGAGACCACGTAACTGATAGCGATTCTCACGATGCCCCTGACCACACGCTTGATCACCCATCGCCAACTTCCTCAGACGATGCGAACCACGACTCAAATATGATACAAGATGATACGCACATGTCGGCGAGTGAGCAGTCAAGCGAAGACAATGCATCTGATGACGGTGACTTCGACATGGAGGAGAGCATCCTATCCCAGAACGAAGACGTGATGGAAGACCGTGCCAGCTCTACCGACTCAAATCGAACATCCAAACGCAAAGCCCCTGTCGAGGAAGAAGACTACATCAAAGCTAATCCAGAGCTATATGGATTAAGACGAAGTGTGCGTTGCGAAAAATTTTCACCCAGCTTCTGTCTTCTTGCTTGCTGACTAGTCCATAGACGCGACCTCGAGAACAACGAAAAATTGTAGGTCATCATTGAGAATTGACACCAGGGTATACCATTAACCCAATTCCTACAGGTCGAATCTGATGATTCGGACTCAGAACCACCCGTCAACCGTCGTACAGTCAAACGACGACGTGTCGAGATCTCACGTCCTTGTAGGTTGCCATAACAGATTCACTTCGGCTGCGGCCATTTCTCCCTAGCTCTGTCTAACATGATCGCTATAGCTTCGAAGATTGGCACACCAACGTTACGGGCCTCGACAGCCGATTCCGACTCCGACTCAGACAACTATGGCGGTGCTCGGGCAAAGAGTCTGCAGAAAAAAGCTCGAATGCAACGCGAGGCGCAACCAGATCTCGCTCTGGCTGAAAAGCGCTGGTCAAGTCGTCGAGCTGCACAGATACAACAAGGAGCTTATGAAGAAAGCGATGTCGATGAAGATGAGGAAGATGACGACGACGAACTCGGTCTCGCTTCCTACACCGTGGACTATGTGGATGACTCGCCATACATAGAAAAGGTTGTTCGACATCGTTTAAAAGACGGCTTGGAATTGTCTTACAACTCAACCAAGAACGACTTTGAGTACTTCATCAAGTGGCAAGGCAAATCACACTTGCATGACACATGGGAAACCTTCGATGATATTCGCGGCTACCGTGGTCATCGCAAAGTCGAGAATTACTTTAAGAAGTTTGTCGACTACGAACTAGCCATTCGCTTCGGCACCGACATTCCTCCCGAGACCAAGGAGCAGTTTTTCCTTGACCGCGAGCGAGATGAAGAGGCGTATGAGGACTACACAAAAGTCGAACGAGTTGTGGCCGTACGTGATGGCGACGAGGGCACTGAATACCTTGTCAAATGGAAAGGCCTCACCTATGAAGAGTGCACATGGGAAATCGCATCCGACATCAGTGACTTGTTCCAAGATCAAATTGACCAGTATCTTGACCGAGCATCTCGATCCTGGCAGTCAGACCGCAAGGAGACAAACCCCGAAACGCGATCACGTATGGTCAAGCTTGAAGAACAACCAGACTTCATCAAAAACGGCGAGCTTCGCAACTTCCAGCTGAGAGGTCTCAATTTTCTCTGCCTCAATTGGACCAAAGGTAACAACGTGATCCTGGCAGATGAGATGGGCCTGGGAAAAACAGTCCAGACTGTATCGTTCTTGAGTTGGCTTCGCAACGCTCGTCATCAAGAGGGCCCATCACTTGTGGTTGCTCCACTCAGTGTCATCCCTGCTTGGTGTGATACCTTTAACCACTGGTCTCCTGATCTCAACTACGTTGTCTATCTGGGACCTGAGGATGCCCGGAACATCATTCGCGAGCATGAACTACTTGTGGACGGCAACCCCAAGAAGCCCAAGTTCAACATTTTGGTCACGTCTTATGAGTTTATTCTTCAGGACTGGCAATTTCTACAGTCCATTAAGTGGCAAACACTCGCCGTTGATGAGGCACACCGACTCAAGAACCGTGAGTCACAGCTTTACAACCGCCTGGTGAACTTCGGTATCCCCTGCAAAGTCTTGATCACGGGTACGCCTATTCAAAACAACCTGGCCGAACTGTCGGCTCTGCTCGATTTCCTGAACCCCGGCAAGGTTGACATCGATGAAGACCTTGATTCGCTTTCTGCCAATGACGCACAAGAGAAATTACAGCTACTGCACAAGGCCATTGCACCCTACATTCTTCGAAGAACTAAAGAGACTGTAGAGTCAGACCTGCCACCAAAGACAGAGAAGATCATTCGTGTTGAGCTGTCGGACGTGCAGCTGGATTATTACAAGAACATCTTGACCCGTAACTACTCAGCCCTCTGTGACGCTACCAATGGCCACAAAAACTCCCTGCTCAATATCATGATGGAGCTGAAAAAGATCAGTAACCATCCTTATATGTTCCCAGGTGCCGAGGAGAAGGTACTGGCCGGCAGTGTGCGCAGAGAGGACCAGATCAAGGGCTTGATTGCGAGCAGTGGAAAGATGATGTTGCTTGATCAACTTTTGTCAAAGTTGAACAAGGATGGACACAGAGTTCTGATTTTCAGCCAGATGGTCAAGATGCTTGACATTCTTGGTGATTACTGCTCCTTGCGAGGATACAAGTTCCAAAGACTCGATGGTACCATCGCGGCGGGTCCTCGACGCATGGCCATCAACCATTTCAACGCCGATGACAGTGATGATTTTTGTTTCCTTCTCTCCACGCGAGCAGGTGGTCTTGGAATCAACTTGATGACCGCGGATACGGTCATCATTTTTGATTCGGATTGGAACCCACAAGCTGATTTGCAGGCTATGGCTCGTGCGCATCGTATAGGCCAGAAACGACCCGTCAACATTTATCGCCTGGTATCCAAGGAAACAGTTGAGGAGGAGGTTCTTGAGCGAGCTCGCAACAAGCTTCTTCTCGAGTATCTGACCATCCAGGCTGGCGTTACCGACGATGGCAAGGCCGCGTTCAAGGAAGAATTGAACAAGAAGGGTCTTAGAGTTGAGGGCCCTTCATCATCGGAAGATATTCAAATGGTGCTCAAGATGCGTTCGTCCAAGATGTTTGAGCAGAGCGGCAACCAAGAACGTCTTGAGCAGCTCGATATTGACTCCATCCTCGAGAACGCTGAAATCACGAAGACAAAGGTGGACGACAAGATTAACCTCAGTAGCGGTGGCATCGATTGGGACAACTTTATGCAGATCACTGATGTTAAGGTGGATGATATTAATCTTGATTGGGATCAGATCATTCCAGCCGATAAACTCGCTGAGATCAAGGCTGAAGAGGAAAAGAAGCAGCATGAAGCCTACGTTGCCAAGGTTGCAGCCGAAAGCGCACCACGAAGGGCTACGATGAAGAACCGCCACAATGAGAATGACCGTGCTGATCGCCTCAAGAAACGTCAGAGGGAACAGCGAGACAAGGAGGAGGACGACAGACGTGCCTTGCTTGCCGACCCGAAACGTCCTTTGACTGACAAGGAGCAACGTGGTCTTATTAAGGCCTATTTCCGATATGGTTCGATGGATGACCGCGGCAATGAGATTATCAAAGATGCCAAGCTCAAGGAGAGAGACCAAGACTATGTTAAGTTGGTTCTCGACGAGTTCATTAAGGCAGCCAAGGAAGCCGTTGATGAGAACCTGGCCCAGATGGTGGAAGAAGAGAAGAGACTAGGAAAGACGCTTACGAAGAAGGATCGAAAAGCGGTTCTGATCGACTTTGGCGATTTGAAGAAGGTGAATGCTGAGACGGCTATCGAACGTCCCAAGCAGCTTCAACTCCTTCGACAGGCTATTCGCAGCCATAGTGACTGGCACTCGTTTCGCCTCCCTGATGCGACAAAGGCCGCCAATTATTCCTGTGCTTGGGGCGCCAAAGAGGATGCTATGCTCTTAATTGGTATTGACCGACACGGCTTTGGTGCCTGGCCGCAGATTCGCGATGACCCTGACCTGGACATGGTGGAGAAGCTCTTCCTCGAAGAACATCGTGTTGAGAAGAAGGAAGAACGCAGCAAGGGCAATGATAAGATGAAGGCCCCTGGTGCAGTACACCTTGTTCGTCGCTCGGAGTACCTGCTCTCCGTTCTGCAGGCAAAGCACTCAAACGATCGAGGTGTGCAACGCGCTGTGGAGAACCATCACCGCAACAATAAAAAGTCGCTTGCTAATGGTCACCGGGGAAGTGCTACAGCATCTCCTGCTCCTCACAACGGAAAGAAGCATCGTGATCGTGATAGGGAGCATCTTCACGGGGATCCTCACCGATCCCGTGGCCACGTCGACGAACGAGGCACTCCACTCCACGACTACAAGCGGAAACATCTGTCGCATGAAGATAGTCGCAGCCCTAAGCATCGGCGTATCGAAGAGCATCGTCGATCTAGCAAACATGGCGATGACAGAGATAGGTCGGAGAAGCGCCGATACCGCGATGATGAGGACCGCCGTGATGACCGACGGGGCGACAAGCATCGTCTTAGCCATAGCCATCGCGATGATCGCCGGGACGATCGACGAGACGACCGCCGTGATGACCGACGTGATGACCGACGAGACGACCGTCGCGATGACCGACGAGACGACCGCCGCGATGACCGCAGAGATGACCGCAGAGATGACCGCAGAGATGACCGCAGAGACGACCGTCGACATGACCGACATCGTGAAGACCGTGATAGAGAACGTGAGCGCGAACGTGAGCGCGAACGGGCCCAAGACTCGCACCCTCAGGATGAACGCCGAGCCAAGGCTCTTCGACGGCTGGATGAGCTCCGTCGAATTGGTGACAACAAGGACCAGCGAGCACAAGACAACGATGCTATGATTTGGTTCTTATTGAAACCAGTCCGTGAAAACTTCGAGAGAATTCTCTCTACCACCAAGGACAACGTCAAGTCAAGCAAGGAGCGGGCGAACATATTTAAGGTCGAGTTGGTCGTTATCGGCACGTTTCTCGATGAAAAATTGGCGGCCACTGCTGCTGACGAGGGTCTCAAGAGCAATTTCTGGTAAGTCTTGTGCTTTGATATGGAGTATTGGATTGGATTTCGCTGACCTCATCTACAGGGACTTTTTGGCAGCCTTATGGCCTGTGGATGATACAAGCAAGAGTGTCACTGGAAAACGACTGAGCAACATGTATCGCACTCTGCACTCCCGAGACAAGGAACCTGGTTCGGCCAAGACCAATGGTGCATAATTACCCCGAGAACGCGCAACAGGCGATTCTCAACAACAAACACCAACTTGTCACGTACAAATATACCTGAATTTTGTTTTTTTCATGACGACTTTAGCATCATTTGTTTTACTTTCCGCATAGGACCGGCGTTTGGTTGCGCATATTTCAATGAGCAGGGCTAGATACGATCTTGCCCTTTTGCTAGGTGCGGAGTGGTTCAGATCATACCCGGATTGCATGGTATGGGGTTTGTCATAGGCGGAGTTGTGTCACCTCGACTTGGCTATTGCCAATATTACACACTGGAGGAGATGTCTTGATACATTTGAGCAGGGTGAGCGTTGCGTCTTTATCGGAGCGAAATTATTACGAAGGACTTGACTCGACTCGGTGCTGGTTAGTTGGTCGATGGCACCTGGGCAGATACCAAATGCAACACTTCGGAGACCCTGATTGTTAGATGAATATTTTCTTATGGATGGTTTGTGGATGAAAAAGACAGGCCAAGATTTCCGAGCAAGGACTTTGCTTAGGCTGATAGAAGCTAAATTATAAAGATGAATAATTAACGACGTCCATTGTTCTACTGTGATCTGCTTGCATGTGATCTATGTATCGAATGCTAAGTATGAGGAGTCTTCTATACAGAAGTCAAGGATAAAGCTACAGCAACATTGGACACCTTGCCATGTTTGACGAAATAAAATAAAGCTAGTATTCCAGAATGCCGTATCGTGAAATGTAGTAGGCCCAGGAGGATATTGAGCTTCGTAACGCCTCTCATAGGATTAAGTTGGCCACTTTCTAACATTTTAGATTGAGGCAGGCTTAAATTTATTCTTAACCAAACAGAGACACCCATGCGTGCATTTGATGCTTAGGTATGGCCACAGCCTGTGGATCCCCATCTGTAGGACCACCGCCTCAGTCATCCACCTAACCAACCTCAATGGTCTTGTCATGACAAAAGCATCCAACAACGACTAGGTACAGTTAAACATAGGAATGTAAGCACATACCACGATCTTTGGACAAACTCCATCACTGACATCATCAATAGTCTACCATACAATGGCTTCTTACACTCGTGAACGTCAAATCGCAGAGCTCGCCGTCTTGCGGGCCTCAATTCTTACTAAGAGGGTGCAGTCAACCGTCAGCGGAATCTCAAAAGCCGACGACTCGCCAGTAACTGCTGCTGATTTTGCCGCTCAGGCGGTTCTTATCAGTGCTCTTCGCAAGGCCTTTCCTGGTGATGCCTTTGTTGGAGAAGAGGACTCCAGCGCTCTAAGAGAAGATGACGCCTTGAAGCAGCGTGTATGGGAACTGGCTTCCAGCGCCCATCTGGAGAACCCAGACGATGAAGCATTGCTTGCCAGCCCCGAGAACGTTGAAGAGCTTCTTGAGGTGATTGACCTCGGAGGTCGTGGCCAGGGTGGCAAAAAGGGGCGCTTCTGGGTTATGGATCCCATCGACGGAACCGCTACGTTCCTCAAGGGTGAACAGTATGCTGTGTCCCTGGCGTTGGTAGAGGATGGCCAAGAAGTTGTCGGTGTTCTGGGTTGTGCGAACCTGAAACCAGTAGATGGAAGAATTTCAGAGTCGACTATTGATAAGGACGGTTTGGGTCTCATGCTCACCGCGGTTCGCGGACAGGGTGCAACGATCCGCAAGATGGAATTCAACGGTCTCCAGCCCGCTCAGCCTCTTGACAGCATCGCCAAAGCTTCCAGCATCGCTGATTCCCAGATCATCAACTACTCCAGCGGCTCTACCTCTCGCCACGACCTCATTACCAAGCTTGCCGACTCCTTCGGTGCCAAGTTTCCTAACATTGAGCTGTACTCCTCTCATATCCGTTACGCAGCACTTCTGGTTGGCGGTGGCGATTTTCAGCTTCGTGTACCTTCGTCTGGCAGTGTACGCATGTATATCTGGGACCATGCCGGCGCCCAGCTTATCTTGACTGAGGCTGGTGGTAAAGTGACAGATCTTGATGGCAAGGAAATGGACTTTGGAGCCGGAAGAGACTTGAACCAAAACAACGGCCTGCTCGCAGCTAGAGAAGGGATCCATAGTGCGGTTCTGGAGGGTATGGGCAAGCTTCTGGCTGAAGACGCTTCGCGTTGAGTATATGCTAAATAAGGGCTATATACGAAGATAAAATCCAACAAATTGTTAACCGGCGTTTATGTTTATATCCAATATTCGACGTGTCCCAGACCGTATCTTACATCAGGCTGCTCCGTCCTCCAATCTCCATACTTCCCTGTCCATCCTTCATTTGTCCACTTCTACCAACGACAAACTCAGTGTAAATTCTCTGCAATCTCCTCCTCTCTTCGGAACTGATACTGGCCCTTGTGTTGTCCAGCGCTTTGAGGAGATGATTCAACTCAATGACTACTTCCCTTTGCTCACTGACTTGCGCTTTGGCGTCGGTGTTGCCTGCAGGAACGCCATGGACTTGCTTTGACTTCTTGCGAGCTATCTTGATCTCCTCAAGTTTTGCGAGGATTGACGCGTTCTCAACAAGGGCAGCCGACCTGCTCTTTGGTGTGGCTTCGATGACTGGCTTGACTTTGTCCCCATAGCGGAACTGGACGAAGCTTGGCGTGGAGTTCGACTTGGCGTTGGTACCGTTGGACCGTTTCGAGGTCACTGCAGGCCCGTCTACGTCCAAGACGTCATGAATGGCCTCCAGCTGAGCGTTAGATACAAGGGCTTGAAGATCAGCACCCGAAAAACCTTCGGTTTGGCGGGCGATGTCCGTAAGGGGTCCATCAGACTCGATCAATTCATCTGAAAGTCTCACTTTCTGGAACAATGCCTTGATAATATCGACTCGATCTTCCAGGGCAGGCATGTCGCAGAGGAGAGACTTATCTAGACGACCAGGACGAAGCAGAGCAGGATCAATCAGATCAGGCCTGGATGTAGCTGCTAGCACATAGACACCTGATAGACCTTCGGCACCGTCCATTTGCGTTAGAAGTTGGTTGACAACACGATCCGTGACACCTGTAGAATCATGTCCTCTCTTGGGTGCGATGGAATCGAACTCGTCGAAGAAGAGCACACATGGCTTTGCAGCTGAAGCTCTGTCGAACAAATCTCGGACGCTCTTTTCAGAGGCACCAATGTACTTGTTCAGGATCTCAGGACCCTTGACACTAATAAAGTTAAGGCCACACTCGCCAGCAACAGCGCTGGCGAGAAGAGTCTTGCCACAACCAGGATATCCGTACAGAAGAAGACCCGAGCGAAGACGCAAAGGACATTGGGCAAAGATTGGCGCGTACTTTGTGGGATATTGCAGCGTCTCCAGAAGTACTTGTCGTGTCTCTTGCAGACCTCCGATAGATTTGAAGCTAGTTGACGAACTTTGCAATGTCACGTTTCTCAGAGAGGCTGGAGTAAAGCCCTTGAGGGCTTTTTCGAAGTCAGCACGAGCTAAATGAATAGCACCTGTTGAGTCTGGGGACTCAGCAATGGCTCGGATGATGGCTTCGTTCCTGGCACGGGATACCAGCACACTGATATCGCCAGGCATGTAGCCGTCCGTAGAACCCGAGATGTCAAGAAAATCGAGATCTGGGTCCAAAACGAAGCCACTTGTCTTTGTTTTGTGATCCTCCTTGCTCGTGTGGCTGGTGCCATCCATCCACGCACCACTGTCTCCTCCCGTCGTGCTGCTATCGGCAGTCTGAGGTCGACTGCCATCGCTAAACTGTGTTTGGGCTTCATCAGCAGTCACAGCATCCAACATAACAATGGACTCCATGACCCGGCGTCTTGCTTCCTTATCGGGTGCTTTGAGCTCCACGATCTCGCGCACAACATGGCCACTGACCACGATACCATTGATAGATTCCTTGGCTTCGGTTGTTGCCAAAAGCACAACACCACTGTCTCGAGTGCAGTATTGTCTTACAATGGAGCATAAGATCTCACCAACTTGCCTGCTTCTGCCATTGTCATTTCCAACCTGCAGTTCTGTCTCGACAGGGCAAAGCTTATCGAGGTCGTCAAGGATAACAACGGCCTTTCCGTTCAATCGTGCGCCCCAGCTGGCAGAGGCAAACAGCCGATTTAGCGTTTCTTTTATTGTTGAGATTCTCGTTTCGTCGTTGACAAGTTTCCGACAGGGGTAATAGAGCGTGTGGAACAATGACTCTTGCCGAAGCTTTTGAGCCAGGTGTTTGGCAATGGAGGATTTTCCTGATCCCATGCCTCCTGTAAGAAGAACAGAAGATAGATGTATAAGATTCGACTGCAAGTTGTTCAACAAGGAGTCGATTCCAACAAGAAGCGAATCATGTGTTGGTTGCCGCTCAAACCCATCCGGTTCAGACATCCAGGATGGCCGAGTGGTAGGTGGCTGCACGTCAATGGGTAACTTGGGATCAATCCCTAGCAGCCAATTTGTTGACTCCTTACTTTCCTGAAAGTCTGCACTGTATGTAAACTTGACAATACCACCCTCCCACCCTTGAGGGGCCTCAAGACCGTCATATATATTCAGAACAGACCCATCTGTCAAGGGCCCTTGAAGGAGCCCATCTGTACCCCTGAAACCATCGTAGATCTGACGGAATCGCTTTGCGGCTTCTTCTTTCTCAGCCTTAGACTCTCCGCCAAAACGAAGACCTTCAATTGTTTTGGCACTTGTCGCGAAAGGAAAAATCTTGATACTTTGCACCGTGCCCTTTGATAGCTGCTGTTGTGCAGCTTGGAGCTTCACGATACCACCAACCATACCAGTGCAGCCGAGAGTGGCGCAAAGAGGAGACGAAAGAGCTACTGCCTGGCTGTTGGGAGGGTCAATCCATGACCGGAGGTGAGCAATCACCTTCGTGGCCGCAGTCATACCAGTGGGAACACCCCCTTCTTCCGGTTGGGGTTGTTGCAATCCAGCTGGTCTAATAACATCGACCATAACGTAGTTGACTCCTTTCAAAGCTTCACCAGACAGAAGATCATGATCAACCCACACACTGAAATCCTGCGGCAGAGGTCCTTCATCAAACCATTCTTCGCACGAAGCTCGGTCGAGGCCGCGCAAAAAGATGGCAGACCGTCGCTCTTCCTTTGCGCTTCGTCGTCGCACTGTACTGGTGGCGCTTCTCTTAGACTTTGAGGTACTGGCCACACTTCTGTGATCACCTGAGTTGAGCGAGCTCTTCTGCCTCGTTTTCGGCGCGACAATCACCTCAGCGTCCGGCGAGATCTTCGCGAATGGTAGGTCTGCGGAAGGCGCAGGGTCCAGTGAGATAACCTTAATATTCGCAGTCGAGGTCGGGGACAAGTGTAGCGTCAACGCGTGGGGCGCAACCGGGTTGTCGCCGAGTTTGTATGAGGGGTTCGGAAGCGCGCGGATCTGGGACAAAAGGTTGAGTTCGAGGAACGTCGCGTGTAGCTCGATAATCTCCCAGTCTTCTGGCGTCAGAGGTTCGATATTGATCGTATGCGCCATCGGAGGATCGAGATGGATGGTGGCCATGATCTTCTGTCCTTCCAACAGTCCCAGAGTCTTTGCTAGTGTGGCATCGAGTTCGACAAGCTGAACATCTTGGTCGCGAGATGATCTTGAGCCATTGAGTCCATCGCGTGTACCGGGAGGGGCTGTTCTTCTCTTGCTTGGCATTCCTGTCCATCCTACAAATATGGAGCGCTGTTGAGAGCCGGATCCAGTCGAAGAAGCATCTCGGTAACTGAGTTCGACGATAACATTTTGCGCAGGCTATCACACATTAGCCAATTACGATGATAGTGAGAGAATGAAGTCAGTTGCTTACAGTGTTGACGTTAACTAGTAATGAGACGAGCGACGATGGGAGATTGACCAAACAACTCTTGAGGTGACTTAGGGAGATCTCCGCAGAGACAGATTGCGCGTTTCTTTTAGGAGGCATGATGCGCCGAGTATGTGGAAAGTTAATTGACTCTCGAATCGAAGTGAGTCGTTGGACTCATAAAAGAAAAGAGAAGTAATGGTTGTATACAAATGAGTACCGAAACAATTCCGACATCAACTCCGTTTCTCGTCCCGCAGCCGAGGTATCTACACGTGCTCGGGATCCTCGCCGTATCTACCTACGGAGCAGCCAAGAAAGCTGGGGAAGGTAGGTAAGGGTAAGCCTCAGGGTGCCAGAGAAATTGGCCGCTAGAAGGGACGAAATTAGTAGATCATCTTATGCTACTTAGTCCAAGCCTTTTAGGCTGTTTATTTTTGTTTCCTAAGACTTTGTAAGTTAAGCGATAGGTAGGTAGTGCCTGAGCTCTGGTCTGGTCTGTGCTTTGCGTGCGATACCGCTGTGGCTGGCGTGAACCTACCTCCTACTAAGGTAATGTACCTATTTATCCTGCATGTGGCTGTGCTTGAAACGCGTCTTCACGCGTTTGGCTTTCGCTAGAGGTAGCGAAGGCCCATTGCAACCGCCGTTGCCCCCCTGCGAGTGACCCCAGCTCGCCCACCCACTCAATTTGTTCACTACCTTGGTAGGTAGGTACGGTCCATCGCAACTCTCCATCTATCTGCTCTGCTGTACTACATCGAACGAACCCCAATAAACAATCTCGACTAAAGCGCCATCAGATTCCTCCATAATGGCGTTGCGCGAGTTCAAGGCACCTGTCAGCTATGAGAAGCAGCAAAGTCAGTAGATTTATTTATTTACAGTATCAACACCCCTCGCTCGCAACGCTAACAACCCATGTAGATGCCTTTCAGGAGTTCTTGACAGGATTCAAGACATCGCCCGAGCAAACGATCACAACTGCGCTAGGAAATATCACCATCGGAGAAGATGATCTCGACGACGAGTATGACTTTATGGATGAGGATGGACAGGACGCCGCAAATCAACGTCAACAAGCCAAGGAACGCCGTGCTCCTCAGTACAAGTACAAGAACATGCTGCAACAACTTTCCGATCGCACAATTGACGAGGCAACAATCGACCTCGATGACCTATCGGCAGTATGAGGCCCTCATTTTCTATATCTACATCGGCTGACAGTTCATAGTGGGAGAGCCAAGCGTTCGAGGGCGAGGAGAGTCTGAGGCTTGTGGACTCTATTGAGATGAACACAAAACACTACGTCGAAATTTTTTCGAGGGCAGTTGA